AATATTTTTTTAAAATACTCGAATATGCTGATAACTTTATGGACATCATTTGGTCAATGTTATTAATTCATATACGACACATTCAGAAGATATTTTATCTATTTGTTTATTAGCTTTCGGTAATTATTTACTGAAATTAAATGATTCTAAAATAATGCAAGAAGTTTCAAATGAATTATAGAATATATTTACCCATCTTTTCGAAACATCATCTTCAGATGTCATCTCGATTAGAGCTGCTTTTTGTTTCATATTCACACAATATTCAGATATAGCATCCGATACAATACAAAACTGGTTTAGAAATAAATTACATATAAATCCTCAAAAGAAATATTCGATACTATTACAACATAACAAGAATTTATTAGATCATGAAGGTATAAGATTAGTTATTGAACATATACGCACGTCTTCTACTGAGACTATGGATAGATTCATTCTTGAATTTTATAATTATCTATGCAACGAACATCATGACAATTATTTCTCGGTTTCCAAACCTAATTATATTCATATAGCAATGGAATTAATTGAAGATTTTCATTTAGTTCAAAATGTTGTTAAGAAAAATTCTTTTGGTGAAGAAAATTTCCAAAATGCACTCTATCATTGTTTCTCTTATTCAGGTAATGAAATTGATTGTACAGTATTTGTGAATCTCTATGCTAAATTTGGTATAATCACTATGAAACTTGTTTATATGTTAGAATCATCGAAAACTTCTTATGATGATCATATGTGGAACTATTTGGATAATATTAAACAAATATCAGATCAAGATGTTATTAATCAATTATTCCAAATTTTAGATTCTATGTTAATTAATGTAGAAAAATTTACTCGTTTTTCATTTATACTACGATTAGTTGTTCAACTCGCACAAGTTCATGTTGTATCTCTATTTGAAGTACATCAACATATTTCAAATGTTATTGAAAACTTATCATCTGCTCATAATTATATAGATCAACTTGATAAAAAGCATATTTTTCAATATTTACTTAGTCTTAGTTGTGCGAAAGAGAAACACTCCTCGTTATCAAAAGTAGAATTAATTACTGTAAAGGATATTGATAAAGACTTTGATAATGAACTTTATTATATTGATAAGAGATCAGTTCTATTTCTTAAAAGAGATTATTTTTTGAATGAGTTCCGAACACTCTTCAGTAATTCTGTCTGAAGTTGATACCTATTTAATTATAACTAATCAATTGCCCCATTGTTTGATAAAATTCAAAATAATATCAATTAATAAAGTTCTTTTTCAGTCGTCATTAAATGATTCTTTATACAGACCAAAAATGATCTGATTGCGTTCGACTATCGTGAGAGTGGGGAACATGAGGGCGAGAGTGATGGTTAGGGTCAAGGTGAAGATGACTCTCATATGTTCACCTTTCCACTCTCAAAATAGATATGAAGGATATCCATTTATTTGTGAGATTAAATAAGTTCATTTTATGGGTGAGTTGTACAAAAACAAAAATTTATGCCTTAGGCGTTGCGATACTAATTCGTCTCTTCCGTTCAGATACCTTCGATGATTAGAGATTACTTTGACTAAAAACTGAAAAATTAAAAACTCTTTGTATCAGTGATCAAGAACGGATCATTATGATACAAATCGTTTTAAAAGATATATTGATGAATTTGGGGTGTGGGTGTAGATGCAAGGAAAATTCACACGAACACCCACATCCACACGCAAAGTAGGTTTCACTCATTTTAATCGTTTTGTTCATCATGTTAAAATTAATTGCCTTTTTAGAATAAATTACGAACCACCTGATTTTATTGTTGCTCGTACTAGTGGTGGTGGTAGATGATCTGATTTCCAAGAAAAAGGTCTTTGATGCTATAAATGTTTTAGTTCATCATATTAAACTAGTTTCATGTTTTTGATATAATTATCAATTAGTTAGTGAATGTGAATAAATGACCAGTACAGCCATTGGTAGACGAAGCAGTCAAGAAAATGGTGCGCAACCTGATCGCGAACAACAATATAATTGATTTTTTTTAACGAATTTCGTAAGTTTGGTGTGGGTGTTCTTCTTACGTTAGTGATACCAATACTTAGACCCACCCACACCCACACCCTCGATCTGATGACATCATTTGTTGATTTACAATGTTAATGTTTAGTGTCTTACTTTGTCGATAGATCGTTTGAGAATCGATCTCGTTCCGTTCGTCGAAATCGGATCGTAATCTTTTATTTGTTCCAAGTGTTTGAAGACCTGATTTACGAATGGGACACGATGATCACTCATCATCCATTTTATTATGGGAAACACAATTCACACGAGTTATATGTTTCGTTCACTACAGAAGAGAAAAATACATCCTACCACTATATCGGTGAGAGGACGAATGCGAATATCATTGGATCGAATAAGATCCAACAAGGGGAATTTGATCTGGGTAGGTTCGGCATTTCTGATAGGGAACTTTTTATAGTTCTTTATCATCGTGCAGAGCTTTTAAGGATTTTTCACTGTGATACAGAACTATAAATTAGTTCTGCATGTGCTGCAGAACCAAAAATAATTCTGCAAAACTCCTTGATTTTTTTTCGTAGCACGAGAGGCGAAACCTAGTTCGAATGGAACAGTCAGAATAAAATTATGACAATGATGTATGAAAACAGAAGGTGTATTCAGCATCTATATATTTTACGTTTGTGATAGATGATTTTCACGCAAATAATGGCGCTACATCCTATAGTCGCAATTTCATAATAGTACATCCAATTTTGCTTGAAAAGCAATACAAATAAAAGATGTCGTTACATCAACTTCTTGATTTTAGTTCGTTTTTACGACTATATTTGATCAGAAGAGTTTAACATCATAAGTAATCTCTAATAATGATATCCACTTCATATGCTACAAATATGAGCTTTTCAAAATGAGTCTCATCTTAAATGCATCGCTGGTTTTTTCATTGGACATTGGTTTGATGACTCATGCAAATTCGGTCATAGACTATTGACTCACCACTGATCAACTCAACCACTAACTCATCTATTTGCTTTTGTCCATCTGAATTGTTTATTTCGTTCATCACCAATTCATCAGCATTACTTCGTAAAGATGAACTTGTCGACAGTATATTTAAATGGCTCAATTCATGCATAAATGAGTTACAAACAAGGTCACTCTTTTATTGTTCACTCTATTCTAAACTAATTTTTCTTTAACTAAAGAATTAGAAATATTCAATCGAAAATTAAGTGATCAAACTCAAACTGGACAAACTTATGATATATCTCAAGAACGACGTCCAAGTTTTGCTTTTCTTATTATCAATTCTTTCTTTTCTTTTCAGTTTCATATGTACGATGAAAAACAATTGCATGTAGCAATTGAAACGGATACTGCAGTAAGACCATTTTATTCGTTTTCCTTCTTTCACTTGTCTTTTTCTTATCTGAAATCTTTTCGAAATTATCTTTTTTCTACTAGTAAAACGATCGATTCTCGATATTAATATGAACGAATGGACGACAATGTCTCAGTTATACAGTGTGCCCTAGAAGTCCCTTCCTAAAATTTTTTCGTTCCATTTCACTATTGACTGGATTTCATTGACTAATTTTTTTTTGGATAATAGATAAATGCACAGCGTTTTTATTTCTAAAGACAAATTTCAAAAGCATTGTTGAAAATTAAGAAATTTAGCCGAAATACTAAAGTTTGGCTCTATAAATATACGAGCATAATTTTATCTTCAATAACTATACTTTTTATTGACTGCTCCATTTTTGTCATTTTTAGATACTGTTCATCTGGTGGGACATTTTGTAGCAGAACAGTATCTAAAAATAACAAAAACAGAGCAGACAATAAAGGGTATAGCCATTGAAGATAAAACTACGCCCGGATACTCAGATAGAGCCTAAAATTTAGTCTGTTTTCTTTTTCTAGAAATGCATTAGATTGCACTTCTTTTTTGAATAACTTCGAATTCTTGAGTAATTCGAATCTTTAAATTGTCCAACACTGGAACAGTCTTTTTACAGAACTTTTTCGGTATGTTTTTACAAAAACAAAATGAGTAGTACCATTTCAAAATTCAAGCAATTAGAACACATATCATCCATGAGTATTTCTGGAAAGAGAAAACAGGCTAAATGTCTTAACTTTCAACAATGCTTCTGAAACTTGTCTTTCGAAATAAAAACTTTGTGCATTTATCTATTATCCAAAACAAAATTAGTCAATGAAGTCCAGTCACTAGTGAAATGAAACGAAAAAACTTTTAGGAAGGGACTTTTAGGACACACTGTATGGTCACTCTAGTCGGACATCTTGTAAACAAGATCTTGGCCAAGATACAAGGTGCAGAAGTGTTAATGGATCTTGAAAATTTAGGCTCAAGATAATTATATTGTCTTGTACCAAGATCTGTAATAAGATCTTGGGTACAAGTATGCAATATCTTTAGTTTGATATCTGGTCTTTTATGATCACTTTTATTGATTTTTGCCTCAAGCAATTACATCCGTCATACTAGTAATCAAGGCTTTCTAGATCTTCAGTTAAAACTCTGCTGTTTAATCTATATTTAATAGTGAGAAATATGTATCTGAACATTTAGTGCAAGAAATTTTATGGTTCACATGAGCAATTTTTATAGGTTCAAAGTATATCTATTTATTCCAATTTAAATAAAGAAAGACTACAGCGAAAAAATTTGTTATTCTCTGCTCTTACTAATATTTGCGTCTAATTCTTGTAAACCGATCAATTTCTGTGTTTTTAATACTTGTTCTTGGACATCATGCTTATCATCTTTGAGAGAACGTACAATATTTTTTATCAATTCTATATTGCCATTTGATTGTAATTTTTATTTAATGACATCAAATGGCATGATGACATTAAATCGATGTTTGTGTATGGAAAAAAAAAATTTATATGATAATTTAAACAATGATTTGTAAAAGTCTAGAATAAAAATAACTTTAGCATTTTTGTTTTATTTAATGTTCTAGAAAATTCACTATAGGAAGAAAGAAGTCAGAGAATCTATCTAAATTTGAGATTTGATTAACACTAAAATCTAAATTTTAAATTATCTTGTAAATTAACCTAACATCAACCATCTGGTTATTAAGCACCAATCTGCCATGAATACAAACCAGATTAGTCTAAAAACCTCTGTTCAAACTTTACAAATTTTCTATGAATGATTTCTTCTTCTGTCTTGATTTTTCATAACTTTAATTTTATTGGTTGACAAGTGCTCCCACTATTGCTAATTTCTCGCACATCTATGAGATTCACAAGTTTATATGATTGGCTTTTAGAAAACAGTTTCAAGCAATTAAAGAATTTTTAAATATGTAAATAAATTAATGATGTCGCTTTTTGTTTTAGTCAAGATCTGGGGAAAAAATCATAAAAACTAGTATCTTTTTTATGATCTTGACATGTGAAAATTCTTGAACAGATCTTACCAAAATCTTAGATACAGATTTATCTGATACGATCAAGATTTACATAAACGAATTATCTTTTAAAGATCTTGATAAGATCTTGCTTATAAGATATTTTAGTAGAGTAGAGTTTTGAAAAACAAGGACTAAAATTATTTTTTTTCTTAAATTTTATATTGTAAGTTATGAATACATTTTATTTATTAACAAAGCCAATTCAGATAAATCAGTTATTTTTTTAAAATTATTTTAGTTTATATTCTCAAATTATTGACAAATGTAAAGAACAATATACTATATGATTAACGAAGCAAATATATCATAATATAATTATCATTGAAATATGTAAAAATCGAATTCTCTTATTTAACATACATTAATTTGGTTGTTTTTCTTTAATGATAAAACAAGTGAATCATGTGCTAATTTAACAATGGGTGTTTGAACGAATTATTACATGCTTGTGTATGATTTTTCTTTTTTTGTTGAATGCTTCAGGAAAAAAACGTTATTTATTATTAGGCTAGAACGCATCTTGATGAAATTCGAACTAAAGCTGCAAATCAATTGAAAAAAACAATGTCGAATGAAGATAATGGTTTGTGGATTTTCAAAAATAACATATTATAATATTCTTTTTTTGGTCTAGTATCTGCTGTTGAATCACTTATTGTTAATGATAAAAATAAAATTATTGAATTGAATAAAAAACTTGATCGAGAAATAATTTCTTTTGGTTATTTAAAAGAATCGATTGAAATAATTGCGTATACATACCATATGTGAAGCTTTTGTATATTATGTAGAAAAAGTTCAATTAGATTATGAAGATATTATTTAAACTTGATGATTCTGAAAAACAATTAGCTAATATACAAACACCAATTGTTGAACTCGAAACCTGGTATAGTCATATAAGTAAAAGACAAAAAAAAGAAAATCATATTATTATAGAAATTACAATATTTAGATAATCATCGAAATCAATAACGCAAAAATAATTCATTGTTTTTCTTTTTCTTTATTCACTATTTAGAACTATGTCATGTTTATTTTGATTTGATTAAAACAAAAACTCAAAGAAGATCCAGTGGTTTCAATAAAATGCGTTTACATCATTGTTAGAGATGTATTTTCTCCTCTTTATTTTGTAATCACGAAATACACACACATCTAACCACTAACTACATACGACCAAAGAGATGAGAAGAAACGCGTGTATATATACCAGTAAATAGATCGAGGGAAAGAAAGAGAAAACGAATGCAAGAATAAAGGATGATATCACACAACAAAGGAAAAAGATATATGCAATCATAACGACAAAGAGTGAAATCATATAACGACAGAAAAGAAGAAAAGAAAAACAAGACCTGGATAATGTGAGGGCTAGCCCGTAACAATCATGAAGCATTTTCACCTTTTAATGAAGATCATAAGGTATATATGATTGCAGCGTAAGAACTCGATATGAAAATGTTTGTTTTATTTTGATGAAACAATGACAATAGTTTTTATCAATTTTAAGTATTATTCTTCGTCCCTGTGTTTTATCACCATGAGAAACCGATTTACAAGAAATTCAACAACAAATTAGTCATACAATTGACTTTTGATATATTTGTCAAAGTAACACAAAATTTTAAAAAACAAATAAAGAAGAAAATAGACGATGATATGCATGAAACATGTTATGTATATGTTAAATATGGTATTGATTATGTTAGTGTTGCTAAACTGAAATATCCTATGCTTTCATTGAATGAATAACTTACAGAAATTCACGAATTAACACATAAAGCGGGTATTGATGCTGATGAACAGTTTGCATCTAACTAACTAGAATTTTTTTTGGAATAATTTCATTCATTTTTCTATTTCCATTTAGATACAACTGCGAAGATTTTCTAGGTATTTTTTTAAATAAATAACGCAGAAAATATGATCGATTCTTTTGTCAATAATAATATAAACAGAATAATATACACTCTATCTCATAATAAGTCTAATTGCTATACCATATAATCTCTATAGTTCATACATTTCTCTTTTTTTTCTTTCACGTTCTATTTTAGCAATATCTGTGATTCGATATATTTCTTTCTTCATTCTTGCTTATTTTGTTTAATCTTTTGCATTGTCATTATTGCTTTAGTTTTTTAAATGTAAACTTACATATGAATGACAAAAAGAAAAGTTCTTCTTCTTTTGCCTTCATTGATTTTATATGAATGAAGAAATAGTTAAATTATTTATTAATGTATTTAATTGTTGAATATCTATCTGATGATAATAATACTGCAAGAAAAAAAATCAGAATATCATATATTTTTTTCTTTTACATATTGTCATAGTAGAAACGACTAGTATTAAACTTCGTAGTTATTTTAGTAGTAAGAAGGTAGAATAATTTATGATGGTTTCAAAAAGTTTGCTCTTATTGTGCAATGAGTCTTTATTTTATCTTTCTATCTCTCTCTCATTAATGTTGGACAAAAGTTGCACATGTGTCACCTACTTATTATTCTTTATTTTATCATATATTTGCTACGTAAATCGTGCTATTTTTCGAATTAATACGATTTTTATTATATATGCTATCTATCATCATACTAGGTTCCCTCTCTTCTCTTCATTCGCATAACTATTTTTCATCGGGTTATGGACAAATGATCAACATTTTTTCGAGCGTCGGCTTTGTAGATGAAGCATAATCCACATAGTATTGTGACGACAAATACATACTCCGCACGCTTCACTTATTTCTGTCGTAGAAGAGGTATTTTTCTTCAATACTTCTATCTTTCACAATCAACAAATGTAAAAGAGATAAAGCACTGTCGTGGAGAGTCATAACTTCATTTTGTATTGAGAATATCTCTCAATATTATGCTGGGATTTGATGACCGCTGCTTTCTTATATGAAAGAATGCTATTAGAGCAAAAGGAATACGTATGAAAATGTACACACACATGTTTCTTCTTTAAGTCTTCTCTAGTGTTGTTTTCAATAAGCCAATTTCAGAATTAATTTAAATGTATATAATAGAGAATATTTTTGATAGATAAATTTTATTATTACCACAAATGATGAATAAACATTTAAAAAATGAAGCAAAAAAAGACGAACGCAAAAAATGTGTAAAAGAAATTCACGTTCACAATGACAATGGGCAGTTACTGGATAATTCTCATTGATTGATTGTCTTGAAGGGTAGACTTTATTGATGAATTATGCAATGGATTGATGATAATCTATTGATTGTTTGAAAGAAAAAAGACCATTCAACTGAGAAATAAAAAAAAAAGATATGAAATTAGAAGGCTCTGTTACACGTTATAATAAAGTCGCATGAGCAGAATTTTAATCGATCGTGGCGCATATCAACACCGCCAAGAAGAAGAGTAAGACAAAAAAAAATGAAAAACAAAAAGGAAAAGCACATATACAAGTCGATCGATGACTTCGACCGTTCAGCACAATACAGATATCATCACCAACACCAATACATATTATATCAAAGAAACTCAATACTAAATTTATTTTATTGATGTCACATGTGTGTATGTGTTTTGTTCTGTTAGGTTCGATTATTCTTTTTTTCTCTAAATAATAATCTCATCTTTTAATGTAATGTTTTTTTGAACTCAATTTGATTTGTTTCTGATTTCTCTCTATTTTCTCTTTTCTGTCTTGTTTTCGTTCTCTAGCTGTCTACACGTGTGTATAAAGAGTGAATAGATATCTACATGCTTTGTTTTTCATCGATAATAACTGCTTGATTTTGTACAAGGTCGAAGTTTTGTTCAATAAAAAAAAATAAAAAAAAATAAACTATCAAACATCGCTATGATCTTGAAAGTTTGATTAAAATCGTAACCTTTACATAAATCCAATCAAGCTCATATATTATAGTAATAAAAGAAATAAATCATAAACGTCTTCGAAAAATCAAAACAAAACTGAAATTGATTTTTTTTGAATGTTTCTATTTGATAAAAAAAACAAGTTGATTCGTTCGATTTGTCGTCATCTGGTGATTGAATGCACGAAAGCATGAAGCCAATCAATCTGATCACTAGAGTTGACCTCAATGACTTTTTTTCTACTAAATTTATTCTTTGCGAATAACATGAAGCTTGCTTTCAACGTTTCCCATTCAATCTCTAAATCTGAATTTTAGTCACGAATAACATCATTGATATGAATTTTAAAAAAAATGATCAGTATTGTATTTCATCTACTAGTAGATGCACAATCCGATTGAGCCGAAACTTTGCTTGACCATTATAGAAGATGAAAATTTATGCATTCTATTGACATAGTCATTCCTTAGTTTTCATAGTCCATCGATCTAAATTGTGATGGAGTTGAATAGAAGTTGATGCGCATACCATCAATAGGTCTTTCATTCTCAATTAATTTCTTTATACATTGTTAATGACGCCTCATTCGTTTTTCTTTCTCGTACAGAGCAACATACAAATTAATAATACAGACTCCAAAGTCATCGTTTTAAGGTTGACAATGACCGATTACAGTCGACACTTCCTCTTTAGTAATACAAACAAAAACAAGAAATCTCTATTATTATCATCAACTATTAATTTCCAATCTCAAGTCATTCATTTAAACTGATTCATAACATCAACAAGACTGATACTTATTCTACATGCTTCATATAGGTATCTCTTCAGTAGCGAAAAAAATCGACGCGTCCTTTCTCTTATTCTCGTACTCACATATGTTAATGCGTATTAGTGAAAAACATAAAGGACAAAAACAAACTCATGATCACAGTACACAAAAAAAAAGTATATCATTCCTGTAATATACAAGCAGCCGCTCTAAATATTTAACACGCAATAACCCTATGTCTAAATTCCTAATACAAACGCCAACCCCAAGGACAAAGAAATATAAAAACAATAATATAGCGACGTTGCCGATTTCTTTTTTCTGCCGTCGTCTTTAGCGAGAAAAAGCAAACCCTACCTACTAATTAAGGGGAGAATGATCACCATACACCAATTCAGTGAGCGGAGGGAGCAAAAAAATCACTCACCAAAGCTATATATAAACACACACAATACACCAAACGACAATCGCAAAACTTAAAAAACAATAAATACTTACCTATCAACAACCCAACAGGAACCATCGACTCTGTCAACACAAAATCATGCATCTCAAGATATTCGCTTTATTTTCATTGATGGTCGTCGTCACCCCCTGGTCAGCTCACCGCAGTTCCGAGAGCAACCAAGATAATCACGATCTTGCCGACCGTCTTGGTCTTCGTCAGCTCCTCCACCTGCTGTTAGCAAAACGTACACACCGTTCATGTATGACGTACTTCCTTTACCAATCAATTCTTCAACAACTTTCTATGAAAAACGCGCAGAAACTGAACACAATTTTGATGAACAGTATTCATTTGTCATGTGACGTTTACTCATTCGTTCAACATCATTCTACGACTTCAATACGAATGCAATAGATGAATAGAATCTTATTGAATAGTATTCCTTTGTCATGTCACCTTTACTCATAGGTACAGCACCATTCTAACATTTCAAACTGAATCAAGGAAATGAATGGAAGTTTTGTGCAAAGTATTCATTTTCCATACGACATTTATTCACATGCTCAACACTATCCTACCACAACGATACCAATGAAATACATAAATAGAACCTTGCTGATTAGTATTCATTTATTTATATGATCTTTACTGATAGGTTCAACATCGTTCTACCACTTCGATCCGAATTAAATACATGAA